AAGAAAGGTCACAAGAGCGTCAGTCATCGCAGGAGATCCGGAATGATAAGGTATCTAACGATAAGTCGAAAACGACATCAGAACAGAAGCTAAAACAAACTCTCGGCCGATCCGGTAGAGATAAACGTGAGAAATCGACTGATCGCAACCATCAGCAGCTCCCAAATACACATCAACCCTCCAAAACAAGCAAACAGGCCGAGTACACCGCAAGCGAGCCGCAATATAACTCAAGAGGATATAAGAAACAGGCCAGGGAGGATGGACCTGAAGACCATCAAAGACTACAAGTGCCAGGTAAGACGATAAAGGCCGCACACCCCCGAAGCAAGCAGGCGAGCCCGCGACATTCGCCAGCAAATCCAGGAAACGAGCATCCAACTAACGGTCATCAGAATCGCCAGCACTCTCAAGCTGTCAACAAGCCGAACAAAGCAGCTCCAGAAGAGGGATCAAGAGATCGCAGTAAGCAGTACGCACCTGCAAAATCAACGACTGAGAGCCAAACAACGAAACCATCCGACCTGAGAGAGAACATTCAGCAGGCAAAAATAGCAGAGATACATCGGAAAAAGTCAACAGATAGACAGATACAGCCGCCAAACACACGAGGTAGGCAGCCTACCAAGCCGACAGTGAATAAATCATATAAGGATACAGAGAGGCGGAAGAATGATTCAAGTGTGACGGAACACAGCGAGCCATCATCCGAGAAGAAATATCAGCAAATAGATAAATCGGGAATTCAAAACGACCCTAAAGCGGGAAAACAACACAAGGTGCACCCGCATCTGAAGGACACAGGTCATAATCGATCAATGTTAAATAAATCCAAAGTAGCTGATCAAAGTCGTGGAGAAGTAGAAGCAGACAGGACAAAGATAAAAAACGGAAAGGAAGAAGCCAAATCGCAACCGCGGCCAACAGAGGACAAGACACCGGTGCAAAAACTCTCAGGGATGCCAACACAAAATAATGCTGGCTCAGCAGCCGTGGAAAAAGAAAAGAAAGAACTCAGCAAATACGGGAAAACGGAAAACGGAAGAAACAAGAGAGTTCGTCGTAAATGGGCGTCACTTGCCCAACTTGTAGCGCAAACAAGCAAATTAGCACCAGTGACTACCAGCAAAGCGTCCAAAACATCGCCTAATCAAGACATTCCGCTGGTAGATAAGGAAAGGACGACGGTAGACCAAAGATTACCGAATGTCCCCGACAAAGCCAAGATAACGACTTCAACCAAACTCAAGACGAAAATAATCCCAAGAAAGGGCAAACTCTTAAAAGTCAGCACCATCAAGAGAGAGCCAATATCATACAGGCGCAATGCTACTCGCAAAACAAAATTGAACTCAGTTCAGCCTGTATCCGATACAGCAAAGGTAGCATCGCTGGATGCCGAAGAAAACAACCAAAGAGACGACAAATTAACAGATCGCCAACAGGAGACTTCATATGAAGCCAACAGTAGCAGAGTCCCGGTAACAAAAATCAAGCCGAAAATGGCGAAAACTCAGCAACGAGCCCAATATCGAAAACAGAGGAGTGACAACCTCGCCATCACAGACGACGAAAGTGACATGGCACATCCGCTGAACAGGACAATGACTCTTCTGAAGGGCTACTCCGAAATGATTTCCACCGATGCCTCTGGCGAAATCAACCCGAATTCCAACAATCAACTCGACACACCAGGTCCCGATGACTCTAAAGAGGTCGAACCGAAACGAAACAATCAGCAAACGAAAACGGAACAAGGCAAGGACATTACTCCGCACACAGAGCTCAAAGTGGACCAGAAATTGATCCCACAAATAGACCTTACTTCTGAACAACAGGGAGACACCGCCACCTCCCATCAGCCCTCCGACCCCTCTTCATCCGACCCCCACCCCGCCGACCTTACTCCGTCCGACCGTGACCCCGCCGACCCCTCTCTTTCCGCCGACCATCTGACCCCCAGCCGCCGTCCCAGCACGGCCACAGCGCGACAGCAGCAGCAGCGGCGCCGGCAGCGGCTGCTGGTCAAACTGGAGGAGGAGGCGCGGCGCCGCGAGGGCGGCCAGCCGGTGTCGCCGGCCCGGCGGCTCACCGTGACAGCCACGCCCTCCCCGACGCCCAGCGTGGCCGGCGCCAGGTCGCCCAGGCCGCTGAACATGCCGCGAGTGCGGCTGGATAGCGAGACGGCGCAGCTGAAACCCAGCTGAACGGACTTCGGTGCCTGTCAGCGAGACGGCGCAGCTGAGACAGAGCTGAACGAGACGTCGGTGCTGTCCAGTGTGATAGATTGAAGGGACGGGACAGCGGAGCGGGCAGATAGGTTCCACCCAAACGATTGTAAAATAAAAGCAAACGGTAGATCAGTCGATAGATTACACAAATTAGATTGGAAATCTCGTTGTCTAACCCGAGAAAGAAGCACGATATCGTCGTAAGCACAGCACGATAAGATCCTATGCCCGTTTTGTGGCGGTGAATCACACGGAACGCTAGGTGGCGCCGCGAGCGTAGCGCCCCCTGCAACTCGGCTCCCAAGTTAGTGATCCTGACGAATGGCTAGCACAGTTCCAGAATCCAGAGATAGTTAAAATATTTCGAAATACTCGCGATTGTCAGTGTATGTCAAAAAGCGAGGCTAGCAGAGCTAAGAAGACGTCAAATATTCTTTATTTTTACTGGTGATGACGTGGCGTGGTGATGATGTTTGTTATTGCCACTTGCCGATCAGCAATCTGAATCATGGTATGGCTACCACTGCTAACCTATTGACTACTGCATTACCTACCTACTGTAATACTGTATGTCTGCATGAAATGGAGTACCTAGCCTATGCAGCTACTGAATGTGTCTTATTGAATCATCTAGCTAAATAAACAAAACAATCAATGCTGATGACAATCATTCTGCAGCTGGTTTTCCAGAGATTCTGATAGAAATTCACATTTCTTTGTAACTCTGTGGACACACCACATACAAGTTACCACTAACAACCACTGTTTGGCACAATGCACAATTGAACGGTATCGGTAAAGCTGGCGTCACCGTCGCGGCTAACCAGTATATCTATGTGCGGATGAAGTTAGAGCAAAAAACATAACCTAACCTGACCTATCCTTACCTACTAACCTACAGCCTACCAACTTACAAACCTACAACCTACCAACCTACAACCTACCAACCAACCTACAACCTACCAACCTACATACCTACAACCTACCAACCTACTAACCTACCAACCTACAACCTACCAGCCTACAACCTAACCTTCCTAGTACCTATACCTACTGCAGGCGCCGACGGTGACGCCAGTTGTACCGATGCCCAATCACAATTGAACTACAATATGACAGTTTCAAACAGTACCAATCACTAGTATTAGGCACAACTATGCACGTTGACAACAGCCAAGCCCTTTAGTTTGTGTGAAAAAACTCGCAACCGAGGACTATAGCTTGCGCAGGCCTCACAGGGCCAGGGGAGTTGATGCCACCCCCAAGGTTTTTCGCAAATAATGTAAAAACGGTGGCGCGTAGCGCTGCCAAATTTGGCATACCCTCTGGGGCAATCTTTTAAGGTAATAGTACGAGCAAAAGCTTGTGAAGCTCAAAACCGCTCGGCACAACTTATAAATCAAAATAAAAGTTGATGTAGGTAATAGTTTGAGCATGAGCTGTTGAGCTCAAGCTGACCAGCTGTTGACAGTTAAAGTTGTGAGTGGAATATAGCGCCATACTGAAGGCTTAGCTAACTTTGTACATTTTATGTATTTTAGAAATGCTCACCTGTAAAAGACACCTTCCTTATCCCAGAACTTCGACGCCTCCTCAGCTCAACAAGTGGTCGCTGATGTTGAGCTCGATTTTTGCGATTGTTTACACGCGTCATGTTTGCAATACTGCCGCCACATTACCTGTGATCTTTTGATCCGCGATTGCATTGCTGACAGTGACATGTAACCAATCAACGGGCGTTCTTCGTCTGAACAGGAAGTAATTGAACACAAAATACGGTTAGTGTTGTATAAATCCATAAATCCATAGAAATCCGATAAATCCATAGAAATAAAGACACTTAATATATTTATAAATTATATCAATGGACATATCAATCATTTGTTTATGTTGCTCCTTTTCTTCGAAAAAAAATGAAAAAACAATGCGTTTTACTCTTTTGTGTTTTGATATATGAGCCATTCGATTTTCACAGCAACACGCTGCTAAAATCGAGAGTTGCCTAGCAACACGTTTGTAGTTTCATTCTAACGTCATTGAAAACGGCCTTGAACAACGATTGAACACAAAGTCCAAGGCCCTAAATACAAGGTTGCACGGACTTATTTCTACTAAACCTACCAGAATATAGTTTCACGGTTGATTATTTAAATAATTATTCAATCAAAATTTCTTTATTATTATCTTGTAATCATTTGCAAGCAATTTTATAAATCAACTTTCAATTTGCTTGCCTTTTACTAGCAAAATAACTTTTCTAGTATTGGGTCAACATAGTGGTGTAGCAGTAGGAACCACATCTGGCAAAACCCCAATACCTACATACAGCAGAAAAGCAGCCACCAGGTGTCGCTACAGTCGCAGCACAGATGTCGCGCGCGTCGCCAATCGCCAAACTACCGATTTCCATAAGGCTGCATATGTACAGATATGTAACGGAAAGTCGCCCTTAAGGATTACGCTTACATCCTTTGCTTATCAGGTCGATGGTCGGAAATTGGGAGGGTCTCGGCTATTTTCGACCACGGATATGCCTTTATCACATGATGAGGAACATGCTGATAAGCGTTTTAGGTGTCATAACAGCACAAAAGTATTTTTAATCATTTTTCAAAAATAGCCGTTCTGCCGTATCTTTCAGTGCAAGGTGCCGTCGGTCATCCCCGACGTGACGTCACGCCGGGGATTTCCAGATTTTCCTACTAGACTTCGACGCCCCCTGACAAAGTCCATCACACAACGAGCAATCCCGCCTATTTTGGATTTTTCGGAAATCCCTCGGGAGTCGGGATTCATCTCAATCTAGTCCATCCCTTCCATCCTGTGGGATTAAAAGGGGACTTGGACTGAGGTGAAATACAGGGTATGATAAAAGATTATTGGTGTTGTGGGTTCATTAGCCTTGGTCAAGGCTATATAAACCTTGGTGTTGTCTGCTACCTACGTTTCCATGGCCCAAGGGCCATGTTAAACCGATTTTGTTAAATGGTTTTTCACCATCATGTCAGTTAGACATTTAAAATTGTGAATATATTATTAGGTGCTAGCTAAAGCCATATGAATATTCATTTTTGCATAAGATGAATAGTACCTACCTATTCAATAAAAATGCACGTGAAATTTCACTCATTCGATTTAGATGTGTCATGGAAACGTAGTGTCAGTGTATGTCGCGAGTTGGAATGCATGTCACAATGCTGTGTGTCATTGAGCTCTACGCAAACCTCTTGGTAAATGTCAAGTTTAAGTCCTAAGAAGATTTCATTGATAAATTTTTCATATTTTTACATTATTTGACATCCTGAATCCAAAAATGATACTCATTTGTCTCGCAAATAAAAGAAAAAAAACAATCAAACCTGACCTAACCTTACCTACTTACCTATAACCTACCAACCTACAACCTACAAACCTACCCTAACCTAACCTAACCTACAAACCTACCTACCTACAACCTAAAACCTACAAACCTACAACCTAACCTAACCTAAAACCTAAAATTTTTGCTGTTTCATATTCGTATCAAAAGCGCCACAATTGTAGTTAGGACCTAAACTTGACATATACCAACCTCTTTGCCTCCAGGTTGAATTGTTGACCATCAAGATAGCTTTAAATCAGCTACCAGCCCTAGTGGATCCCCATACCATGCTGATGAATACCTATGATATGGATTTAAAATATTGAGTTTGATGAATATGTATCCTGATACAATGCACTGAATGTGCTTTGATTTATTCATGCTTAATTTTTTTGTGGCGGATTTTGAGACTCAAGCTCCCTCTCCCATTCTATTGGTCCAGTTCCCCCACCAAGGCTACGGAACTCCACCCAAGGTTCCCACTACACATTCTTAATTTCCTATACCATACTTGAATGACTTTTTGGGGCTTAAGTGCTGCAAGCACTGGTCATAAATATTGATACATGGGTTTACCTATTTTTGAAGTGCCTACCAGTTCTAAGAAGAGCCAGAAAATGAGGTTTTTGTTTGTCTGGATGGTGTAAAGCTGCTCACTCTATTTTTTTCCTTTTGGTCTGCTGAAGCTGTTTGCTTTTTATTATGCTTTGCTTTTCCTTTGGTAGAAAATAGTTTATGGCATAATGGTGTTTTTGTTCCCACAGACCACAGGAGCTGAATCTAAGTCTGCTGGAGGACACTCTTCCAGAGTCAACTCTCAGACATACAGCTTTTCATTGATCCCTATGCATGGTGGATAGGAGCTGCAAGGTGAGCCAGTGCAGAGTACAGTCACTCTACCCAAGTACATTCTGAATTATCTGTTTATGGTGGTTTTGATGGGCTTGGCACATGGCTATCTCAGCATTGTAACTGATAAAGTTTCAGATAATAAGTGACCTCCAGATACTTGAGATAAAGCTTGTCTTCTGTCAGATTGCACAGATTACTAGGAATGCTCACTTTGGTGATGCCAGTTACTGGACAAGGTTGCCAGTCAATTTCGTGTGTGACATGTGGAGAGGCATGTCAAGCTAGTTACCGCTGCCCTCACCACCTGCCACTGGTGGTGCCTTTCTCCCTTTTCTGGAAGGAGGAAAAATCGATAATTTTTGGGGACTCTGCCTCTCCTGTCACACTTTGGACTGGATAGCCTGGCTTGTGAAGTGTGAGTGAACCAAAAATATGACAGTTTGTTGTTGGTTTAGCATGACCTTCGCATGAGTACCTATTTTACATTTAAAACCACTGTTGTACCACTTACAAAAATAAGAGATGAAAACAACAGTCTAGAAGCGATTGAAAAACGTAGTATTGGTTCCAGTTCATCGATTCCTCCGTATACGCTGCTCAGCTGAAACCCCACGCACGGGTCATTGGGCGCAAAATGACCACCGCAGTCGACGCGCCCGTAAACCCTAATAAACAAACAAACAGGCACGGGGGTCATATCATCCGATTTCCGACGGACTCCCGCTTACGCTGGCCCACCAGTATATACACCGTACGCCCTTGGGCCCACCGTCCCCATAACACGGTGTAACGGTGCATCTATCGACCTGGGTCACTCGAGGTCGGCTCGAGGTCGGCTCGCATGTCCCTGAGGGATGCCACCTGCCGCGAATCGGCTCTGCAGTCTGCCCCCGCCCGCGTCCCGATATAGGGCCTTGGCCCGCGGCGGGAGGGCCGTCTGCCTGCTGTCCGTCCGCTGCTGATGGGCTAGTTCGATAGCTCTTTTGTTGCCATGGTTACGCGTAAACAGGCGTGGCGACCCGACCGTCTTGATTGGAGGTGTCCCGAATCCGGCCCGTGGCGGTGCGGACTTGGTGAAGGTTTGTATGGATGGATATGTGTAAGAGGAAATTTCATGGATCGCTATACCGCCGTGAGACTGCGTCAGGGAACGGTAATCCTTAGATGAAGGAGTCATGTTTGACCTTTGCCATGTGGTGTGGGTATTTATAGTCACCATGGTGTGGGTGATGTGCGCTGTATCACCGTGTATATAAATACGCTGTATGACCCCGCTATTAGTGTGCACTGGACGGACCCAAGCAAACAAACAAGTAAACAAACAAACAAACGAACGAACGAACGAACGAACGAACAAACAAACAAACAACGGTATAGGGGCGAGGGGCGGGGCGAGGAAAACTCCTGATGGAACTTTGACCTTTGTAGGCGGAAGTTGAGCTCGTGTCGTTCCTTTTCGCAACGATTGATCCCACTATTGCATCCTCCGGTTTTACCGATACGTTTTTCTCATCCAGAAACTACCACACGTGTATGGGTGCCACGGCTTTGGTTTTCAGTGGATATTTTCCATGAGCATTGAGCATCTGACCAGCCTACACCGGCACCAGCGAAATGCGCTGCTGGCAGGCCTGGCCTGCCACCTAACGGTAGGGCGGCGAGGTGCCTGCGGCCATCAGCGTTGCCATGGCGACTGCATGATTGATTTCCGCCGGCCGGAGAATTGGGCGCTCAGCGTCGTTACGGTGGGCTGGCCGGCGCGGTGACCGGGTCACTCGGCACAAGCTTACCGAGCCGGTCGGCCGACCGAGCCGGCGATTCCATCGTCACACTCTGAATGTGTGTGGAGCGTCCGATGAACGGAAGGGGGATGAGTTAGCTGATAATAGGCTCGGATTATGTTTGGGTGAGGTATGAGCTCTGCTCTGTTGAATCCGACTTTGTTGTGATGGACAGGAAGTAGTTCTACCGGAATGTTGGAATGAGCCTTGTCCACTCCATGAGATTGCTGCGACTGCGAGGAGAGCGATGGTAACCTGCCACTAATCTGCCTGCTCCACCGGCCGCTCATTGTCGAGAGTAGTTCACGTTTTGGCCGAGCGGCGGCGCCACCGTCAGCACAGGTGCTGCCACCTAGAATCGATCCCGGCGCCGGCGAGTGGGAGTCTCTACCGAGGTCGGCAGCGACCGCCTTCACAACGGGGACCGACAGCTCTGTACTTATCCATGTCCAACTCAGATCCTGCCGCCTTACATTCTAAACAGTTAAACTTATGTTGCATGGTTATCATGAGTCGGTTTGTAACATGTCGATTCCTCACGGCTCGTGCGTTATGTAGCATGCTCGCCGATTGTTGTCCGCGTCTCCGTCGTGCTGCACCGTTCTGTCATCGGGCCGTCATTCATCCAGCGCTGACACGCTTGGTACGCCGCTGGGAACCGGGTAGGGGGAGTAGGGTGGACCTCCGGGTGACGTTAACTGACTTCGCCGGCGGCGGGGCGGCCGCACGGGGCCGGGAGGGGTCATCGATTCAACCCCGGACTTGTATCGCCCCTGTGGCCCGGCGGCGGACCACTGGTTGCTCGGGACCGCCGGTGCCAACAGGTGGTTAGATGTGGGCCGCGCTGAGCCGGTCAGTTGTGCGGCTGATCGGACCCCTCCCCCCTCTGGTCAGCGGCTGGTCGGCGCCCCTCCCCCTCCTATCCCCAAGTCATCCGGGTCTGGGACCGATTCGCGTTGGCGCACTAAGGCCCTAGTGACACTTGATTTCAAGCGTCACTATGCGATTTCGGTTCGCGCTGAGCCACTAGCCGATTGGTGTAAAATACCGCTTAGTGTCACTACATTCAAGTGTCACTTGGCCGCCTAGTCTTACTAGCTTCCTAGTGCGCCATCTCGAATCGGCCCCTGATCTCGTCTCTCTTTTCTAGGAAGGAATGTTCAGTAGATCCTCTTCTGAGTGATATGACACCGGATACCATGCTGGCTCAAAAGGAGTTCCGAACTGACCTGACTCGTAGGTGGAGTTCGGCGACTTAGTGATTCTTAAAAACACACGGCTTCTTGATAAGTCCATCTATATTGGTTTCTTACCGTACCAACGACTTCGCTTTCACTTACGTTACAGTATTTAACTGAATGGCATTTCCGTATTTGTCTAGCGCTTTTTATCTTTCCAGTGACCACCGTTACATTCGTTGCCGGCTTCGATCGATTAGTTTATGATTTGGCATTCAGGTGGATGTTAACCCATCCCATCCCACAAGGGACAGACGGCAGAGGCACCCATGCGTCCCTCATGCGACTATCACGAAACTTTTTGGCTATGACAGCTCACCTTCCCTATCAGCATGCTAAACGCCGTTGTTGCCGCTTCGGACTGTTTTGTTTCGGCCATACGATGAGGTCTCCACATCTTTTGTTGTCATCCTCGATTCACGGAGGCACCGTGTGCTGCTAGATACGCTGATGGTTGCCGCTCTATGGGTGCCACTGGGCTGAGTTACACGGAAGATAGAAGAAGAGAACGGCTGGGGAGACATCCTCCGGGCAGAGATGGTATCAATGGCCGCGATGAGTATTCACACATTTCTAATTATCAATGAGAAATAAAAGTTGAGGGAGAGATCGAGCTTGACAGTTTTGTTTTGGAGGCCAAGACCCTAAACGCCCCCCCCCCCTCCTCTTCCTAGGGCCTTACTCCCGAATCTGTCAGTGTATCTATTCCCGATATTCTAACGTGATTAATGTATTTTGATTGGCGATTATGTGCCAGAATCGGCTCATAGACGGCGAGCTCCTAATGCATCTTTTCGCAGTTGACAGATGCCGCGAGCCGACATTACAAGATGACCGATAAAGCTCGACGTCATTCATTCGGCACTATTGCAGCGCGTCTGGTGTTGCGGTTGTCGGAGTATTACGCCAGTTCTACCATTACGTAAGTCTCAGAACCGAGATTCTGCCTGCCGTCTGGTGGGTGTTCTGAGTGCTCAGTGGCAGGCGGCGGCACGGCTGAGGCGGGCGGCAGTCATGGCAACAGCGAGGAATGGGGGTGTTGCGACATATGAACGCGGTGGAAGGGGTTCATATGTTCATTTGTGTTACGTTGGAATGGTGCATGGTTGGTCTATGCCCAAATCATTAGAATGCCTGAATCATGTTCCGCTTTCAGTGTAGATGACGTAGCCGCGTGAAATGAATAATTTTTTAGGAATTCACTTGAAGAAAAATATTTGTTTTGGAGTTTTGTGTATTTGTATTTGTATTTGTATTTGTACATACGGTCTCCATTGTATGGCTTTTCAGACCGCGATTGATGGTTCTTAGCACACTTAGCCTATGGTTGTTACAACTAAGTACATGGCGTAATATTCACATGAAATGCAGTAAGGCACACAAATAAAGCTCAGGCAGCAGTACATCACACATGGCGACATACACTGACAGGATGGTTCACTCGGTCAACGATCGCTGCGCCGGTTCCACTGCGCAATTGCACGGTAAGTGAAAAAACGCCTCGCAAATTCTGTGTGGATGCGAGGCAATTGTAACAAGCCCGCGGAAGTGGAGCGCGTTTCTCTGCTGGATATCTCGCGTCGGTGAACTAGCGAGTTCTGCAAGTGACGTGGAGCATACGGGTGGTACATCAGTCGATCCACAAATAAAACATCTCGCTTGCTGATCAAATCATCAATAGTGGGCCATGCAAGCGAACTCAGTAGTGGTGAGACATGTTCCGATTTACGCTTACAAAACACAATACGAGCACAATGATTTATCACTCTTTGAATGCGACGCTTCTGGGTGACACTGCAACCACCCCATACACTCAGACAATACAGAATATGAGGAAAAATCAGTGCCTCTATCAAAAATGCCTTTACCTCCGTTGAAAGTCCACGACAAAATTTCGAGAGCCCGTGGAGAGTTCCATAGCACCGCTGAACAACAAGTGAAACCTGAGGATTCCACGAGAGATTCTCGTCAAGAACTACTCCTAACACCTTTGCTGACGGAGAAGACTGAACGACTGTGTCACTAAAGGTAACAGTGAAATCGGTAAGCAGACGTTGGCGCATCCTAAAAAGCACAACCTCCGTTTTCTTCGGATTGATTTTAAGACTGTTGTCAACAAACCATGAGTGCGCTTCAGTTAAGGTGCTGGCCACCCGCGCCTTCAGGGTGTCGATGCTCCCACTTGAGTTCGAGTGAAGGAACTGAACGTCGTCCGCATACATGACGACTTCAGCATCACTGACGTACGCTGCAAAGTCGTTGGTGTACAATAGGTACAACACTGGCCCGATCAGGTATCCCTGCACCACTCCGTGAGTTACTGGTACAGCAGTGACATTGCACACACGCTGTTGTCGACCTCGCAGCCAGTTTTGAAACCAATGCGTGTCAATGCCGTACCAACCAAGCTTTTTGAGGAGGCGGTCATGCGGAACACTATCAAATGCTTTTGAAGTGTCTGCTGTAGTCAGACAAGTAACCAACTTAGAATCTAAGCTTTTAGTGATAAAACTAACGGCGTGTGATTGTGTGATTGAGCCTTAATAATAAGATTTTAATTTCCAATATTATTTCATGAATATTATTTCAACTTCGGCTACTGTTGCCACAGCAAGGTCGCAAGGTCATGCGCGACCTGTGCAAAAGTCTTAATGACGCCACATATTTGATCGCCTTAGCTAATCATTTGAGGAAACAGTTTTGTATAGTTTGGTACAAACTCAAATTTGAATATCTCTCGATCAACGACCATAGAGTGGGCCTGTTCCAGCGCCTCCAGTAGAAATTCTTGACTGGAGGCTCTATCAGAGGTTTCACTGGAGGCGCTGGAACGCAATCTGGAGATTTCTGGAGATAAAGCGTCACAGATACAAAAAGAATGACGATTGTTCTCTCTTGAAACGCAAAATTTGTTTTCAATTTTAGTAAAAAAGATTAAAAAAAATATAGCAATGTATTTTTCGTTACATTCAAGCTGTAAAATTTTCAGTCAAAAGTCCTTTGTTTACATTCGTGATTGTCACATGTGCGCTGTAATTGTAGACCAGAGCCTCCAGAGAAATTTGGACCTCCCAACCCTCTGGAGGCTACTGGAGGTTTCTGGAGCTTTGGCGAGAGCTTTCTGGAGCTTTCTGGAGGCGCTGGAACGCTCTCTGGAGGATTCTAGAGCTTTCTGGAGGTTTCTGGAGGTTTCTGGAGGCGCTGGAACAGGCCCATAGACACTGTGGATTGCGAACCAAAGACAATACAACGAGTAAGGTTTATCGTAACATTGATAAGTGTGCTTGCCGTGAACTGCGATTATACATACGTTAACCCGCGCCCTGCTGGGGGGGGTGTTTGAACACCCCCCCTGTGGTTTTTCGCGAATATCTCAAAAACGGCGGCGCGGAGCGCCGCCGTTTTTGGTACACCTTATCATACATCAATTCTACACATGTTGTGAAAATTGTAGACCAAGGTCATTCAAGGTCAGGTCACCAGGTCACTTGAAGTGACCTCACCTCATAAAAAGTTTCAATGTCTGTCATAGCTACACCGAGTGACCGATCGCTTTGAAACTTTCAGCGATTGCTAAGAGCAATAGCATGTACAAAATGTATATCTCAGAATTTTGATATCGATGACCTAAGGTCAGGTCAATTTTGCGACCTCCCCATTATAAGTCAATGGGAGAAAATTGAAATGCGCCTCTTTTGGATGAAAGACATTATAAACACTCCCAAACACCGAATTACAAGTGGTTTAGACACACTGAACATGAAAATGGTGTCTGTGACCCTTGTTTATGCCCTGAGGTCATCTTAGGTCACGAATGGTATCTAACAGTTTTTCGCAAATAACTTTTGATAGAGGCATGCTAGAGCGATGAAAACGCCTTAGATGTGTTCAGCTCGACGATACGGATCGACTGATATGCAACATGACCCTTTCCGGTCAGGTCATGACCTTGACCTGAGGTCAAATTTTCAAGTTGACCTTTCAAGGTCAAGTTATAGTTCATTCGATGCGTCTTGACGAGAGGAACACGATGCCGGTGAAAGTAAGCTCGTACAAGGCTTGGGTCAAACGTTATTGCAGAAAAACTGTTTCCGAAAAAATCGGCTATTTTTGCAGTTTTTGCCCCCTGCAGGCAAAACCGTTGACGTTAGGTCAAATCTGAGAGAATTACTCAGAAAGGGCGTTAATAGGGCTATCGAATGCACTTTTCCGCGGCGCTGTAGCTCTATTGGTTCCCGAGTTATGCGTTGGCTTCTTGGAAATTTTCGACATTCGACCTGGAAATCGGCGAAATTTTGCCTTCAATGACCTCTGGTGACCTGACCTTTGACCTGACCAAAAAATTGACCGAAGTGATTTCGTCATTATTTTTGACGCTCTTTCGAACGCCGCCTTCCGCGTATCGCTACGTGGCCCAGGAGCCGAGTTACAAGGGGGGGTGTTCAAACACCCCCCCCCCCAGCAGGGCGTGGAAATCCAGGACCCCCAGCCGGGCGCGGGTTAAACGTGTGTCACTATGCTGGACTGGAGTCCCGTAGCCTTGGATGCACTGACGTTTCCCCTCTGACTACCACTCACTTATGTTTTTTTAACAAGTTCAATGGTGGAGAGATATTTATCGACGAGGACAGATTTTCAGAATGGTCTTCTGAATACCTGCTGAGGGCTGCATGCAGCTGGGGCCATCCTTTGATGCCAAAAGTGCGCTTTTCTTCTGTCGTATGCAGTTGTCATTTACGAGTATACTGGGTAGTACTGACTTCTAACCCTCGCCCTGGCAGGGGGGGGGGTTGATGCAACCCCCCCTAAGGCTTTTCGAAGATAGCGTGAAAACGGCGGCGCACCTTTTTACATATGACCTGAAAATTTCAAGTCCGGGTGACCTTGGGTCAGGTCACCAGATCAGAAAAACCGGTACAAGGTCATGGTCAAATTTCAATTTTCTTTTTGCACCTGTCCAACTCACAGTTTTGGACTGATTTCCTTCAAACTTTCAGGATGTGCTAAGTTTACCGAGTTCTATAACATATAGTTCGGGTTTTTTGATGTCACTGACCTGAGGTCAGTTAGAGGTCATTACGTCGTAATGTTAAGCCTGTGGGAAAATACTGGAGATATCCGCTTCGTTCCATCACTTTTGTGCTTTGAAACCATAGTAATTAACAGCAGGTCACTTGGTGCTTCTTTGTTTGGTGTACTTATCCATGGGCCAGGTCAAATGAGGTCAACTGAGGTCAAATGACCTTTTTGCCAATAACTTGGCACATAATGACGCTAGCGCTAAAAAAAATGGTGTCATTGTGTTCCTGGTGATCAGCCGAATCGAATGATATGCAATATGACGCAATTTGGCTAACTTGAACTTAATTAATGAATTAAAGTTTACTTAAAAATTAAGAAAAACTTTAAGTACACTTAAGCAAGCAAAAAAGGATATCATTCGACGCGCCTTGACGTGCTGAGTTCACTGGTGCTTTTCTTTTATCTCTATCTTAATTAGTTCAAAAGTTATAAGCGAAAAACTTTTGACCTGTTTTTAGCGAAATTTTGTGCATTTTTACCCCCCCCCCCAAAAAAAAAAACACCCTAAATATTGACCTAGAGCAACCAAATTTGCACAGGGGCGAGAACTCTAGGGGGCCCACCTACCTACCAAATTTGGTGTTTCTAGGTGCCATAGGAGCCAATCGCGAGGGGGGTCGCATCAACCCCCCCCCCCTGCCAGGCCGTGTTATGAAAAATGCCCTGCCAGGGCGAGGGCTAAAATACTAGTTTATTCATGGTGTTATGGTCCGCGAATTATTTCCAGCGCCCGTGATAAAAACCAAGAGTCAATGTGCCAGCCAGTAGTGATCCGGAGGAGACGGAGACAAAGCCCGCCAAATATAGTCCAGTTTTCGTCAGACTTATTTTAATTGCTGAATCATCGAAACAATTACGATTTCTTTGATTAATTAGTGCGCTTACATGTACCATAGTTCGTTGTACGGGCTGTTTGAAAAAGGGCCCATCTTTGCGAGGTGTCATTTGTTGGAGCTAATTATTGTGATCCGGCGAGTATGGTTACAAGGTAGGAGTCTCTGTTATTAGGCTTTGGCCGGGTAATTGTTTTAGGCTGCAAATGTCACCTATGTTCCGGTTGCAGCCGAGTTCGAATGGAA